ACAACCCAAAAAGAGAACTACAGGCCAATCTCCCTAATGAACATAGATGCAAAAATCCTCAACAAGATACTGGCAAACAGAATACAAAGGATCATCAAGAATATCATACACTCTGACCAAGTTGGATTTATCCCAGGGATGCAAGGATGGTTCAACATTCATAAATCAATAAATGTAAAACACTATATCAACAGACTCAAGGACAAAAACCATATGATCATCTCAATAGATGCAGAAATGGCATTTGACAAAATCCAACACCCATTCATGATAAAAAACCCTACAGAAAATTGGAATAGAAAGTCTTTATCTCATCTTGATTAAGGCTGTCTATGAAAAACGAATAGCCAACATCATACAAAATGGTCAAAAACTGAAAACTTTCACACTAAAATCAGGAACAAGACAAGGATGCCCACTATCACCACTCCTGTCCAATATTGTTCTGGAAACATTAGCCACAGCAATTAGAAAACAGAAAGAAATAAAAGGAATAAAGATTGGAAAGGAAGAAGTTAAACCGTCATTATGTGCTGATGATATGGTACTTTACATAGAAGACCCAAAATACTCTGCCAAAAGACTTCTACACTTAATTGACAGGTTCAGTAGAGTAGCTGGATATAAGGTCACCACTCAAAAAGCAATAGCCTTTTTATACACAAAGAATAGATTCACTGAGAGAGAAATTAGAGAAAGAATTCTTTTTACAATAGCATCCAAAAAAATGAAATATCTAAGAATCAATCTAACAAAGGAAGCAAAAGATCTCTACACTGAAAACACCAGCACTCTGAAAAAGGAAATTAAGGAGGATATAGGAAAATGGAAAGACATTCCTTGTTCCTGGGTAGGAAGAACCAATATTGAGAAAATAGCCACACTTCCAAAACTACTATATAGATTTAATGCAATGCCAATTGAAATTCCAAAAATGTATTTCACAGAACTAGAGAAAACAATACAAAAATTCATTTGGAACCAGAAGAGACCTAGAATAGCAAAAGAAATTCTAGGCAACAGAGACATGACTGGGGATAATACAATCCCCAACTTGAAATTATACTACAAGGCTACTGTGATAAAAACAGCATGGTACTGGCAAAGAAACAGACCTGAAGATCAGTGGTATAGATTAGAAGATGCAGAAACAACTCCAGACATACTCAGCCACCTCATCTTTGCCAAAGGAGCCAACCATCCTCATTGGAAGAAAGATAGCCTATTTAATGAACGGTGTTGGAAAAACTGAATTTCAACCTGCCAAAGATTAAAACTAGACCCATACTTATCACCATGCACTAAAGTAAGATCAAAGTGGATTAAAGATCTAAATATCAAGGCAGAAACATTAAATTTGCTGGAAGATAAGTTAGGTAGAACTCTTGAAGACATTGACATAGGAAAAGGCTTTATGAACAAAATCTCAGTAGCATGGGAACTAGCAAAAAGAATCAACAACTGGAATCTCATCTTATTAAAAAGCTTCTGCACTGCAGGAGAAACCACCAACAGAGCTAAGAGACCACCTACAATGTGGGAAAAGATTTTTAGCAATTGTACCTCAGACAAAGGAGTACTATCTAGAATATCTAAAGAACAGAAAAAAATCAGACTCCCCAAATTCAAAGACCCAATTCAAAAATGGGCATCTGAAATGAACACATATTTCTCAGACAAAGAAGTAAAAGCAGCAAATAAATATATGAAAAAATGTTTAACGTCACTGGTTATTCAAGAGGTACAGATGAAAACAGCACTGAGATTCCACCTCATTCCAGAAAGAATGGCTATTATAAAGATATCATCCAATAACAAATGCTGGCAGGGGTGTGAGGAGAAAGGAACCCTTCTCCATTGTTGGTGGGAGTGCAGACTGGTGCAACCACTGTGGAAATCAATATGGGGATATCTCAAAGAACTAGGATTAGCGGTCCCATTTGACCCAGCTATCCCCATTCTGGGTATCTTCCCAAAAGAATTAAAAGAATCATACCACAGTGATATATGTGCACCCATGTTTATAGTGACACAGTTTGTAATAGCTAAAGCTTGGAAACAACTCAAGTGCCCATCAACTGGAGACTGGATAAAGAAGATGTGGTTTTTAAAAAAAATAAAATGGAGTCCTACTCAGCCATAAAGAATGAGAAAGTAGAGATATTTATAGCTAAATGGGTGCACATGGAGGCCATAGGTGAAATAAATAGGACACACATGTATAAATACCGAATAGTTTCTCTAATGTGAGAAACTGAAAGTGTAAATAAAGATGAAAAGGTATAATAGATAATGTGAAACAGGAAGAAAAGGTGCAAGGGGGAACTCCCACTTATAGGGGAAAAGAAAGAAGGGAATGGAATTAATATGAGAAAATGAAAAATGGAAACAAAATCTTTGTATATAGGGAAGGATGGAGGGTTTGAAGGGAGGGCAGGGGAGTGGGGAAAAATTAAGAACCAAGATGGATTATGTAAAGGTGCAATTTCCAGTGATGAATGTCATTATATTGTATACCTAAAATGTACCAATAAAGTTAATTTTTAAAAAATCAATGTAAAATGCATCAAAGGCCTAGGTATAAAACCTGAAACTTTGAAACTACTAAAAGAAAATACAAGGGAAACATTTGAAAACATAGGCATAGGCAAAGACTTCCTGAATAGGACTTCAGTAGCATAGGACTTAATATCAAGAATCAACAAATGGGACTACATCAAATTGAAACGTTTCTGTATACCAATGGAAAAATAGAGTGAAGGGACAGCCTACAGAAGGGGAGGAAAATCTTTATTTTCTACTCTTCTGACAGAGGATTAATATCTAAAATACATCAACAACGCCACAAAATCAAATAAAATCAATAAATGAGCACATGAATTGAAAAGACACTTCTCAAAGTAAGTACAGATGGCCAATAAGCATATCAACTTCTTCAGCCATTAGGAAAATGCAAATCAAAACTACATTGAGGTTCTCTCTCCAGTCAGAATGACTAGCATCAAGAATACAAAACACAATAAATACAGGTGACCATGCAAAGAAAAAATAGCCTTCTACACTGCTGGTGGGAGTGTAAATTAGTGGAAATCAGTATAGAGGTTCCTTAAAAAATTACAGTTACCATTTGATCCAATATAATTAGAATATACTACAGGGATGTCTACATGGTCATGCTTATTATGCCACAATTCACAACTGTGGAACCAGCTTAGGTGTCCATGAATAGATGAATAGATAAAGAAAATGTAGTGTATATATAACAGTGGAGAATTATTCAGCCATGAGGAAGAACAAAATTCTATCCTTTGTAGGAAAATGGATGCATCTGGAAACCATCATGTTGAATAAATAAGCCAGGCACAGAAAGACAAATATCACATTTTCCCTAATACGTAGAATCTAAAAACAATGGCAAGAAAGTAGAAGGGAGACTATTATTAGATAAGATAAAGGAAATAAGAGGTAGGGAGAGAAGGTATAAGGGCCAGTGATGGAGGGATAAATATGAAGAAAATATGTGCATTGGAACCCCCCCAAACTGAAACTATGTGGGAGTAAGAAGGGTAATGGGGAGCATGAAAGTGATCAAAGTACATTATGTGCATGTACAAATCTGCCAAAATGAAACCCATCAATTTGTATAATCAATAAAATGTGACAAAAAGAGATAAACAGAAAAACTGACCCAAAAGAAATAGACATAGGAAATAGAAAGAAGAAATAGCTATCATTTGCCTCCTGAGAAAGATTCAAGAGAGCTATACCCATAAAACAGTAACTGCTTGCTATTATTTAAAAAACAAAAGGAAAGCTAGGAAATAAAATAATGAAATTTCCCAGAAAGTATAACAAAAAGACAAAGATTTATAAAAATAAATGAAAGCTAAAAGACATAGAGAATCGGTTCAGGAAGTAGAGCATCTCCTAATGAAGGCCCTGCTGATACCAGAGCTCTGGGAGGTACCCAGGGAGGACTTTCTTCTCAGGTTGAGCTAGTTGGTCCCATGAAAAGCCAAAATAAGCTGAGCATCTCTGGGGGATGGGGTGGGTGGGCAATGTTTTCAGCCCTTGAATTGCCTGCCAAGAAGGTTTATTAAAAAGAACCATGCTTACTATGTATCACTTGGCCATTGTATTTTTAAGGATGGAGATGTGTCTTTCACTTCCAATACTAATGACTGCTTTGCCTCACCAAATGCCTTGTTAACTTTTGAAGGTCATCAGCATTTCTGAAAAGGACATTTAATCATCTTCTTTCTGCTTCACTCAGAGAGCTGCTGGCGTTCTGAGCCGGACCCTTTCTTCCTCTCAGAAAATCATTAAGGAGGCTGTGAGAGCAGGAGTGGTGAAGAAAATGATTAAATTCCTGAAGGTAAAATAACTTCACTGGTTACACCTCTTAAATTTCCAGGAGTCTTCTATTTTATTCAGGGAACAGAATTAAGGTCTCCTTTGCTCAGTTAATATACCATTATGTCAAACCTGCCAGATTTAAAACTTCCAGGATTGAGATTCTTTTCTGCCTGTCCACCTGGCCAATGCTCCAAACATGGGCAAAAGATTGTTAAATAGACAAGAACACTGCTGTTTAGATCTATAAAATTACTTACCTTTCAAACTTCACTAAAACACCTAGTCTCTGTCTTTGAACAAAGTGGCTTGAATGGCTCTCTGCAAAATTTCTTGGGCCAGTTATTTTGTTCATGGACGCACAATACTTCATGTAGTTGTATGGAGATTGTTGGGTCTAACTCCATTCATGAGATAAGGAAGCAGCACGGCTATCCTGTAACCAAAGCATGTTGGACTTTTCCCCATGAAAAGAATGCAGTGAAGCCAAGCAAGTAACCAGCTTCACCTGGAAGGGCAAAGTGAGTTATTAGGCTGCCATCTCTGGGTCCCACTGAGATGTATGTGCCCAGTGAGACCTACTCATCTGTGTCAGTGTAGTGACACAAACCCCAGGCTAAGCAGGGCAGGGAAGTGTGCTCTGAAGAGGAAGAGGGTGCTGCTGAGGCAGGGAGAGTATTGAGGGGACAGGAAGGTAGATCTGAATTTAGGCTCTTACTTGCATAGTGACCATCCTTCCCCCATACAACTTTTGTAACCCTGCCAGAGGCTGCTGGTTGCAGGAATACACACCTGCATTGTGTGTAAATACATACACACACACACCATGTATTTTAAAGATCCTGCGTTGAGTATTTTTATGGATTATGATTTGACAGTTGTCACCTCTTATGATGATGTAGGATCATGAGGTTCTCACACCTCATCCTTAGCATGTCAGCCCTTTCTTTAAAGGTGAAATGATTCAGGAGGCCTGTTTCTTCCCCCTTTTTGGTAGATCTGCCATTGACAGAATCCCTCTCCCAAAGGCCACTCACATAAAGCCTTTCAGGAATGTCAAATAAACACGATAAGCCTGCTTTCCTAGCTGGCACAGGCTGTGCTGAGGGGGTGAGGGGACAGTCCCTCCCTACAGGGGCCAGTCCTGCTCACCAGGCAGCATGTACATTCTCATTGGAATTCTCTTTCAGAAATTCCTGAAGCTGCTAGTAATGTTATGCCTGCTCACTGTGGCTTTTGGTCAAGAAGAGTTGTAGCATTGATTGTATTTTTCTGATTTCATTCTGCAATCTAGACAGGAGGCCAGACTGCATCCCATTATGCCATAAAGATACTAGCTGTCTGCACAAACAGCTATTGTGAAGCTCGGGAAGAAGTAATAAGACTGGATAAAAGTAAGTGATGATTTCATTAAGGGAACCCACATTCCAGAGGTTAATCCTCTGGAAGCTACAAAGGGAAGCATGGCTGTGGAGTGAGGAGGGACTTAGCAGTAGTGCTGTTAACCTCCCTGGGACCTCTTCAGTGTTTACAGAACAAGGTGCAGCTCACCTCTGGTTGGAAGGCCTTTCATTAGCCTTTTGGCTGTGCACAGGTGACAGACAGCTCAAAAGTAACAGGATCGAAGCTGGAAAATTGTTTCTATAGCAATGTACTTAAACTGACCTAGCCTCAGCCCTTTTCCTTCACAAAGGGGAGAGGTAAAAGACTACCCTCAACCTTTAGTGAACAAGGGGAATATCAGATATTAACTTACATGAGCTGTAGCTACTCGCAGGGCTTCCCAGTGAGGCTAATGTTCTCCTTAACACTTCCTCTGGATACTCAGATGGTGACTGAGTGGGGCCCTGTGATTGGACAGAAAGCTTTCTTCTGGGGAAACACAGGATGCTGGCATACTGCCTCCCACTCAGGGGCCGGGTGGGATCCCTCACTGTGGTGGGTTGTACAGGTTGAGCATAGGGCCTTTCCAGAAGACAGACCAGTTGGGCACAGAGGGCTTATTCATGCAGCAACAGTGTTGAGCTAGGTGCTGTTCTGGGCACCTGAGCTACTGCAGAAACACTGGGAAGAGTTGAGGGGAGTCACAGCATTTAGTGAACATTTGTTGATGAGTGAGCACATCCTCCCCAGGGTTTCTAGGGAAGCTCGGCATCTTCCAGGTCCCCCAGCCCCTCATGCCTCTTGCCAGTCTCCTGTTTGGGGATTTAGAGGAACTGTTGCTTGTGCTTCTTTCCTTGTAGAGTTCAGTGTCCTGCTGAAGCTGCTCACCTCAGAGGATGAGATTCTGATGGGCAATGCTGCCCTCTGCCTTGGCAACTGCATGGAGGTGCCCAATGTCGCGTCTTCCCTGCTGAAGACAGACGTTGTGCAAGTCTTGTTAAAGCTAGCAGGTGGTGACTCACGGGAGACAGCTGTGCAGCTGAATGCAGGCATCGCGCTGGGGAAACTGTGCACGGCTGAGCCCAGGTACACTGTGGCCACCACTGAGACAGGAAGGGGCCAGGGTCCCAGTATCCCCTTCAAGCACATGCCCCACAGTGACCTAAATTCCTCCCACTAGGCCCCACCTCCCAAGGGTTCCACCACCTCCCAAGAGTGCTAAGGGCTGCAGACTAAGACTTTAGCATATGGACCTTTGGGGAAAGTTTAAGATTCAACTATATACTGTCTTTTCTCTTTCTTTCTCTTTTTAAAAATTATTTCCAGAAATAGAACAAGCTTATTTTATTTAAGTATGTATGTGTGGGTGTATATGTATGTATGTATGTGTGTGTATGTATGTATGTATTTATGCATGCTTGGGTTTAAACAAGTGGAGGGATGTCCAGAGAGAGTAACATTTTCCTGTTGAAAACAGAATGGAGAAGCAAAACAGCATATCTGGGGACACCCAGCAAGGCAAGCAAGACCTTAGCTTGAAGTCTGTGTTGCTTCTCTTTCTGTTCAGACTCCTGCTTTGCTCTGGTCCTGTTCTGATGTGCTCAAATACCCCATTGAGCATGCTTCTGGAGCATGTTGCCTGTGGCCAAGCCATGAAGGCTGGCACAGACAGGGGTGCCTTTGGGGGTGGGTAGAGGATGGCTTATTCCTCACAGTTCTGTACCTCTAATTCCTTCTCTGTATAAAGAAAGGGCTGGCTTAGATGACATCTGAGGTCCTTTCAAGTTCCATCTGACTGATCAAATGAAGGAACAGATAAAATCTTTCTTCCACAGAAGCAAGGCACATTAGCGAACATGAGCTCAAAGTGGCAGCCTGCTGGGGAGTTCCCCCAGAGCACAGTCCCATCTGATCAGCCTGTCACACCTGCCACTCACAGAGAGAGTGTTTTCAGTGTTTTGTGGTCTCCCTGTGAGACTTACTTACCCTTTTGATCTTTAGGGCTCCCCCGTGCCACAGCAACTTCCCCTTTCTACCCAGAGTGATGGGGCTCATGTTCCCAGCTGGCTTCTGTCTAGAGGGAGATGGCTCTGAAGCATGGCATTTATGACCTGGATTTTGTGGTCTGATTACAACAGGTTTGCTGCTCAACTGAGAGAGCTTCATGGATTGGAAATTCTCAGCTCTACAATGAAATACATCAACAATTCTTGAGAGATGTAACGTCTGTGTGCAGCTTTGCAGACACACAACTGTATATTATGGATTGTTGATGTACTAATAAAGTCCTTTGAAATATCCACTTAAGAACTGAGTATATGTTTTCAGAGTGTTTGTCTAGTGGGATTTCATTGATAGAAGAGAGCAGGCATCTGGTGGTTATTGTGGTAGAAACTGTTTGGCTTGTTTAGCATCCATCACACTTGTCTCTGAATGTTCCTTTCTACAGAAACTGGAAACCAGACAACAAAAAGCCACATTTCCCAGACCCTCTTGCATCCACAGTTCTACATGAGAACTTGATTCTACCAATCTATTACCACTTTTCATGCTGCTTGCTGTTTTCTACTGGCAACATGCTAGAAGCATCAGGTTTTGGGGAGTGGCATTTAGGATCTGCTAGCCAGCTCTGGTGCCTCAAGATAGTAGCAGTGGCCTCTGTGGTGGCAGCTTTTTGAAGCCCCACTGCACCTGTGGCAGGTGCTACTGAACTCAGTGGGTCCAGTGGTCCAGTGTTGGGAAGTGGCTCCCTATTAGGGGAGCTCTGTACAGTCTTCCTGTGCATGGGAGTCATTCTTGGATGTTCCACCTGGCTCTCTTCTCCAGCCCATATGGTGGTGCTGCAGGTACTCTGTTTTGTGTTTTAGATTGTTCTCTGCTTAAAGTGCCAGAGTAGGGGCTTCCATTGGTGAATTTAACTCTGACTGATACAAACATGTATTTCCCTAACCTAGCTTGCATTCTTATCCCTTTCCCAAAGGCCTTTCTCCCTTTTCATTGCTCTAGAGCTAATTAAATCAGGGTCACCTATAAACTCCAAGTCTCTAACTGAAAATTCCAATGAGTGACAGTACTCCTTGGCTTCTCTGTACAATCAGTTGATCATTTTAGGGTAGAAGGTAGGAGCTCCATTGTACAATGATAGCCAAGAGTCCCGACCAAAATTCCAAAGAATTTTCCTATGCTGTGTGAGTAGGAAAGATGCTTAGCTCTTCTGAGCTTTGGCAGCTACATCTGGAAAAATAAGACACTACTCTATCACTCTACCTCTTATGTTACCTCTTATGCTGTGAAGGTTAAATAAGGATTTGGAGGTGCTATAGCTTGGATCAGAAATGTTCCTTAAAGGCCCATGTGTGAAAACTTCATCTCTAGTTTGGAGCTATTGTGGAGGGGGGGGGGGGGTTAAGCAGTGAAGCCTTTAAGGAAGTCTTCAGATCACAGGAGTGCCCTGAAAGGGCATTTGCAACCTCAGACTCTTCCTTTCTCTCTCTTTTGCTTCCTGACCCTGAGGTGAATAGTTTGCTCCATGATGGGCTCCTACCATGATGAGATGCCTCCTAGCCAGAGGCCTGAAAGCTATGAATTTGCCAGATCATGGACTGAAACCTGTAAAACTTTGAGCCATAATAAACCTTTTCTCTTTGATTGTGTTGTGTGTTTGTTATAGTAATGGAAAGCTGACACATGGAAGTTAAATGTATGATGGAAATTACAGTGTTATATAAATATGACCGGGATCCATTTTGATGCCGGAGTGTGGAGGTGCGGTCAGATTGTGACATCAGCTGGGTTAGGTTTGAGGAGTCTGTGAATGGGTATGCTCATATCCTGTAAGGAATCAAAGCTGGACATTTTCTGAAACATGTAGGAAAGGAAGCCTTCCTCCTCCAAGTTTTTATTCAACACACCCAAAGAAAAGATTCTTCACAGGCAAGGCAGCTGTTGGATTAAATTAAGAATTTGGTGTTGCCCGTTGCACTGAAAACACCAAATCAGCCTGCTGCAGACAGGCAGGTCTGGGGACGTGGTCCCGAGGTCGCCAGTCATGCTGAAAACACCAAATCAGCCTGCTG